GTTAACCACACACACTCCATTAACGACTTAATAAAGTGCAAAGAGTAATTTCATGGATTAGCATCTATTTCACATTTTTTCTAAAGTAACTAAGATTAGAAATTTAATAAAATGTTTAGTTACTTTATATTTCATTATAATTTTAACGAGAATTAATGCCATATTCTATTCGTTCAGCTAAAGACCCTCCACCAGTCAAGGAAGCAGTGGGTGAGAATGGACTCCCATTAAACTGCTATTTTATAGGCAGTAACCTTATACCCCCCTTATAGATCAGCTTCGTGAATGATGTCTACTAATGGTAAGACTGACTTTTCTCATATATATACATATATATATATATATATATATATATATATATAAGTATTAACATTTAATATTTTAATAGTATAAAGGTAGAATTTTAATCTTTTAAAACTCTACAGTTTTGGAATTAAATGTCTCGTTAGTGTGACTTAACAAATTTCAAAATTTGAGGGCAAATTTTGAAACTTTTCAAGACTTTTCATATTCATAACTTATGAATATTTATGAGTTTTAAAGTTCATGTATGAGATTTTTCATATAACTTGAGGAAAAGTTACAAAACTCATATCAAAAACATTCTTAGATCAATTATGATTAACAACTATCATACATTCATTTACACTAGTGATCTATATCTCCTTAATCTCTTAGTATAAACAGAACTTACATTCATGTAACACCGTAAATTTCAAGACAAATTTTTCATTTAAAATAATCATTTTATTCTTAGAAACACTTGTTTAAAATCTCATTCATAGTCGATTTACAAAACATAACTCCATTTTCTCTTGCATAGAAAACCAGGATCCTCCAAAATATGACTCTTTCTCTGGTGTGTACAATCAAGCCGGTGCCGTCCCGTGATACTGAAAGAAACCTGAAAAACATCAAACAAAACACTTGTTGAGCGTCATAATTATCACGTCGTGAATTAGCTAGTTTAGGGTTTTTAAAAGCTAAATCTGCGGAATGCCATAACTTTTGCATACGAACTCCGTTTTTGACGTTCTTTATATCCACACGTAGGTGGAGACGTATTCTACAAGTTTCATTTAGATCCCTAAGGCTAAAAAGTCATCTATCTTAAATTCACTATTTACGTCTCCCGGTGTCGTGCCAGTTTTGCCGAAAAACTTCGACGGGCCATAACTTCTTCGTTATAACTCGGATTTCGGCGTTCTTTATATGTACGGAACCCTTGAGACATATTCTACAACTTGGTTAAGATTATTCATTATAAATAATTTTTTGTCGAAAAGTCGTTTTGTACCCCTATTATCTCTAAATTGACTAGCCCGGATCTACGGGCGTTACATAATCTATATTTATTTTATTTTATTTTTTAATCTAATGTTGTTAATTTAATATAATTAAAGTGACAAATTTTAAAATTTAAAATTTAAGATAATTAGGGTGAGAATAAAATTTGAAATTTGAAATTGATGATTAATATGTTAACAAGTGGCATGACAGAAGACATCATATTAATGAGAAGTTCTAATATAATGACACTTATCAATAAGAAAATAAATACGTTCGTTTATTAGGATAAAAAAAAACGCTACCAGGTAAGCAATTATCTTTTATGAAACAAAATATATATATATATATATATATATATATATATATATATATATATATATATATATATATATATATATATATATATATATATATATATGAAAAAAGTAAAAGATAAAACTTAACTAGATTCTATATATTTAAGAAACACAACAAATATCACGTGTCGTATAAAAGTGATAAGGTTCATATTCATGTATAAAAGTTTTAAGTTTTAATTTCAATAATGTCAAGGAGATCATAGTTACTAATATTATGGTCTTAAGATCTATTTGACGTGATATATATATATATATATATATATATATATATATATATATATATATATATATATATATATATATATATATATATATATATATATATATATATATATATATATATATATATATATGCTACCCAAAAAAGAGATAGCAACATATTATGTTGTCTGTGTGTCCGTTAAGTCTATATGTTATAAAAATTTATTATTGAGTAAAAAAAAGTTATTGAAAACAAGATTTGGTAGTCTACTAGTCAAAAAAAACCTAAAAACCTCAATCGTATTTTAAGAATTTTTTCATAAAAATTAGCTCATGCAATATTTTGATATTTTGTGTATTTTTTAATCGTAATTAAATATTTTTTATTTCACAATACTCTTCGACCGTGGAGATTTTTATGACTTCTAGATTTTTTTGGATGCATCGGTTGTTGAATCAAGTTTTTCTATTAACATTTTAATATAACTTTTAGATTTTTTTTTCGATTATAATCCAAAGAATTTTAATTTTTAAAATTTTAACCTATGTTCTAAATATTTTAATGAACTTGGTCGAAACTTTTAACAAACATCCCCAAACTATTTTCTATAATTCTTTTTATATGTTTTTTAAAACTTATATTTTCTTATGAAAGTATATTTTGGAAAAATAACATATATGTCCTATTATGTTTCTAGGGTTTACCTATTTAGCCACTTAACTTATTTTGTGGTTGTATAAGAGAACAAATTACATTTTGTTGGGTTGATTAAGTCCTTTTGTACAAAATGAAGGGGTCGTACGGTTACTCCTTTGCCACATGAGATGTTTGTTAACTAATTATTCCTTAACTCAATATTATTCATCTTCTTCCCCATCTGATACTCCTCAATCATGTTACCTGATACATATTATTAAACATCAAAATCACGTCGTCATGTTCTGATTTCATGCCTAAAAATTCTTGATTTAGAAAATGAGGATATTGAAATGATCCGGTAGTTGGCGATGCCTATGGATATGAAAAATCACACAATAGTAAACATCAAAATCATGATTTAATCAGGTTATAATGGAGAATTGCTTTATGTTACCTGGGAATTAGGGAGCAAAACCAGAGAATCGAGCAATGAAGTGAGACTAATACCACAATGTATTTTAAGAATTGGAGGCCAAGCAATAACTCGTGAGGAAGAAACCGAAACTCTGATACTCGAAGCATCAGTATCAAAATTACCACGCATTGCAACCCTTCATTCTGCAATACTAACTTTTATACGACGATATCAACAAGGGTTTTAAGTACAAAAATGGAATAAAAGCAACATACATTAAAAATGGAAACAAAAGACATACTCATAGGAATACAAACACATACAATATCAACAAGGGTTTTAAGTACAAACAATGTAACTAAATACTAGCAATAAAGCATGTATCAAACGCTAGCTATAAAATTTGGAGAACATACTAGCAAATACAGGGAGATAATGTAAAGGGAACAAATGTCAAACTCATATGACTACAAGCACAAACAAAAGCTTGCCAAAAAGGACAACAGGTACCAACAAAGGTAAAGTTTAAAAAGTTACTCTTATACTATTCGATTATCCTGATCATATGTCTTCATGCCCTTCTATTGTCATATCATCAGAAAAGACTCAACTCATTCAAACTTAACAAGTTATCTATTCGCTTCCTTCATGATGTTCTCTTCTCCTCTCACAATGTACAATTATTGCCTTTCCCTCCTAAGCACAATGTCCTTTCCTACTCTTATCATGAACAAACTAGCTTTCACAATGATATTATTTTTCAAATAACTTCATTTTTATCTAATGTCATCATTTTTTGTGCAAAAATTCTTCATGTTTTACCTTTTAAATGTTGAAGAATTGCAGAACTAATTTTTATATTATAAAAATGTTATCTTTTACTTTCAGTGTATTTTAAACCTACTATTTATTACGACATTTTTAATATTTATTATTATATATTTTTTTAAACTAGTTTAATATTAAGTAACATATAAAAATAGTCCATGTAATTTGGTTAGAATGGCAGGTTTGGACCCATTCTTGGGAAGTTAGATCACGATCTTGTGGTTCAAAAAATTATACTATACTTACTTTTGTCAAATGACATCCATAATTTCCTGTTAATTGTCATCATGTCCCCCTCACATATGGTTACTCATCTATGTTCATCCTAAGGCAAGATCCAGAGTTCTACTATTAAAGGCAAATAAGATAGAACAATAAGATTATTGAGCAAATACACAAAATAAAATAAGTAAAGAGAAATGGTATTTTTGTGGTAAATAATGGACTCAAGTGTAGTTACCTGACTTCCTCAGCTAGAAAATTCATCATGCCATGTAATACTCTGAATATCATTTCTATTGATTATAAGAGGGAGCAAGTAAATAAATATAAACTAGAAATTTACCCAAAACAATATATAAACATGAATCCAACTATAGAAGGTGTATAGCATAATAGCAATTTAATCAAGAGGATATTTATAGTAGGGATAAAATACAAGAAATAAATATGGATACATATTTTGATTACGTATGCAAACTTTCTAAGCATCTCTATGATTGTTCTTTTAAGTTCTTTGCTATTTGAAAAGTTTCTTATCGTTGGAATTAAGAGTTATTATGTTTGTTTACATGATTTTAACATGAATCTTAAAAGAACTTTGAACCAGAGTTGTCTATTTTATTATCATGTTAAAATTAACTTATAAAGATTATAATAAAAAGTCACTTAACATATTTTTTATTTATATATAAACAACCCTATGAAATTAAATTGAAATATTAAATTAGGTGATTATTTTCTTTTTGTAAATAAGAATATCAATAAAACTGATATTCTGTGCATTTTACATTTACTATATTTATTCACTAATGAAGTCTTTTATGAACATCACCTAGGTTCATGTTACTTAGCTAACCCCTCCCATTTTTAATATATATATATATATATATATATATATATATATATATATATATATATATATATATATATATATATATATATATATATATATATATGTTTGTTGTTATCACATAAGCTTTTAAATATGGATTTAAAAGATGGGCTTCTTTATGAAAATTAAGTAAAAGTAAAAACACAAATTGTTTCATGGCTTTGGGCCCGATTTAATGGCCGTCAGTTCTTCTATCAAAGCCTTTAAATTGTTGAGAGAAGAGCCACCTTCTTCAACAACTTGTTTGGCTTTCATTGCCACCTCTTTTGAGCTGCATCTGATACTTTCAGCTATGGCGGATCCACCTGTCAATATCTCAATAGCCTCAACTATATTCCGTTTTCCGATGATTGGGCTAGTGATCTCAGAACCCGAGTTCCAAACCTCCGCCCCTACTCCGACTCCAATCCCTAAAAGCTCCACCAGCTTCTCGTTGTAAAAGTGCTCGGCGTACAACGGCCATGTCATCAATGGCACTCCGGTCACCATAGCTTCAAGCACCGAGTTCCAACCGCAGTGGCTCAAGAACCCTCCGATCGACGGGTGTTGTAATATCTCCACCTGCGGAGCCCATCCCGTCATTATCAAACCCTTGTTTTCCCTTCCAATCCTCTCCTCAAAACCTTCCGGCAACCCACCGATCACTTCCTCTTCCCCTTTCCTCACCACCCAAATAAACGGCTGCTTAGATTCTTCAAGCGCCAATGCTATTTCAGTGATCTGAGCTTCTGGGAATTTCACCAAACTTCCAAAACAAACGAATATCACCGATTTCGGTGTTTGATCGTCAAGCCAACTCAGACAACTGTGCTTCTTCTCCGATGAACCCTCGCGAATGAAAAACTGAAAAAGTGGACCAATATGCCAGATTTTCGTACCTTTAATCTTCTTCATGTGATCGGCATAAGCTGGTTCGATCTCGTAAAACGTGTTGTGGACTAATCCGTAACTTCGCTTCTCCGATTGTTGAATCGTTTCAATCATCTCGCCCCATTGGTTCTTGAACTTGAAATGGTCTGAAACCTGAGACCTCTTCATCGTGATTTTATCGGGTAAATTGGGGACCACAAAGCTTTCTGATTCAGATTTCACATTCTCGTGAGGTTTATGAACTTTCAAGCTGTGGAAAACAGAGTGGTAAAGGAAACACGAAGGGTAAAACAACAGTCTCGGGATATTGAGCTCGTCGGCAAGGTCAACTGTCCACGGGAAGAACATGTCGGAGAAGATGCAATCTGCAGCAAGATCACGAATCACTTGTTCAATTGTCTTCTGGAGCAGCATCATGCCATGATAGACTTTGGATGCGGTTTCTAGAGTAGTGGCAGTGTTGAAATTTTCTATTCCGATGGGCACTCCGACCTCCGATGCTGGAAAGTTGATGGTCTGAACGGCGATTGGGAATCCGACGAATATGTCACGATCGACGGAGGATTTGAATATGAGAGCATTGTGAACGGTGGTGATGATGGTGGAGCGAACGCCACGGGAGGCAAAGAGCCTGGCGACGTGGACCAAAGGGATGATGTGGCTTAAAGCAAAAAAAGGGAGGAAGACGACGTGAAGGTTTCCGGCGCCGGCCACCATGGATGATTTAGTTTTCTCTGACGTCATGGATTCCTTCGCTCCCCCCTTTGTTTTTGGGTGACACCCCCTTTAAATCGACTATTTCCGTTTTTATAATAATAAATAATTTGTTATTATTTGATTTTGTTACGTTTTTTATATCAAAATTGCACGTTTGGTCTATGTAATTGGTCTATGTATGTAAGGGACGAAAAATGCAACAAAAATCAAATGTAAAAGAAGTTAGGGACCAAAATTACAACCTTGATCAAACCATAAAGACGATTTGAATAGTTTACTCTTTGTTAGTTAGTTTTTGTCTTGGTTATTCTCTTTTTTTTTTTATCAACGTAACTATAATTATAATGATTGTTAATGTAATGTATAAAGACAAATAGATGTGTGAGAACGAAAGATAATTTTAATGGTTAAAAAATATATATATAAAGAGTTAAAGACAAAGACAAATACGTATGAAAATTGAAGTATTGTAACTATCGTCTTTGGTTTAAGTTTAAAAACTCTAGTTTATATCAAAATTTAAGCAAAAGTAAGACCAATTTGCATGAATGTTGTTACTATATTTTATAAAACATGACGCTTTTTCTTGTTGTTACTCAATTACTTGATAATCTTGTTCTTTTTGCCCATTTCTTGTTCTTCAACCGGTTAGAATGTTGATTTTATTAATGCATCTGTAAATAAATAAATAAATAACTCAAACTTCATTTATTTTTTATTATCTTTATGATCTTCGACACTAATCCTCCTTATTAATAAATGAAAACTTTATTAGTCTTTGGACATAGTTTTTGTTTTAGGCCAGCCTACCTATGTCTATTTTGGAATTTTGGCCTATTAACTATATTGGACAAAGTTATTATAATGGGCTTGTTTAGATTTGGGTTTATATGATGGATTGGATTTAACAAAATATTGGGGTGATTTGATAGTGTTTTGACTCATAAATATTATATTTTTCGTGGGTTACTTAGGGGTGTTAACTGTTACTGTTAGCAATATGTTCTTATAGGGACCACTATGCTAAAAAGTTCCCAACTTGGTTAAGGACACATAGCTAATAGCCCACACTAATGTTAAAAAGTTCCTAACCGGGGTAACGACACATAGTCAACGATAAGGAGCTAACAGTGTAAAGTTAGCACTCAAAAAGACACGTATTGATAGATAATGAATATTTATCAAAATTCATATTAGTCCTAATTTATATTATTTTCGTAACATGTCAACTACAACAACGTAGAATAACGAAGTGATATTCATAGAAAACATGCTAAAACCATCATGTAAGTGCATGTTAGGAGAGGATGTGGTAATGGAAATTTAAAATAGTTTTAACAACACTCCGAGAGAATGTGTTAATGCAAATTTAAATAATTTTAACAAGTAGACAGATGTATATTTTGAAAGAAAAATCAACATTTGGATATTTTGGTTTAGACATGTCTTTGGTTTATGGCTGGATAGGATGGAAGCAGACTTGTGTGGATTTAAGAGGAGTTCTTCCTACTGAGCTTGAAGAATGAGGGTTCACTGCAAGACAAACTCTTTTAAAAACGGTTAAACACGAAAAACATTATATTAATAATCAACACGTGTTTGTATCATTTGATTTTGACACATTTGGTTTCCTAGCATCAGAAGCAGTGAAGGTTTCCAAACGAGTGTAATGGGACATGCATTCTAATGTTACGACCCCAAGATCCATGGACGTAGTTTTAAAAGAGTTAGTTTTGCAATCCAGAAATGAATAGCGACACAATTTGTTATCCGTTTACTTTACATCTCGTTGTAATTTTCTTTTAACTTGATAAGTTTAATATAATCAAACCCAAGCAATTTCCTTTAGCCAACTCTCAAACTCCCCAAATATGGTTTATAGAGATAACCAAAAATATTTTGATTTGTAGTGGTTGGGCTCTACAATAATAGCTTAATTAACTTCTATGGAGATATTTTCTTTGTCTCTAAGCCTTACAAGTTACAACACCGACGGTTGATCCATAAAAATTAGCTTATGACTTTTAATTAGTTTTAAAAAAAAAAACTAGTACAAGAGATTTATCTAATAGTTCAAACTCTTTTCAAGAAAGAGAAAAGATTGTACTATTAACCACTTACAAAATAATTATCTAACATGGAGTCATAATATCAAGAGTGAACTGAGCTAAACAAGTAGAGTGTGAGATTTTTGCCTTTGAGATTGTAAGAAATAATAAAAGTCGAAGAGAAATTAAATTCTGGTCAAAGCACATTATATTACCTAGGATAAGGTAGAGTGTACCTGTGTTATCTAATAAGATTTTGGGTTTTTATTTTGTATTGCGTATTACATTGGCCTATTAGCTAGAAACCCTAATTAGCTAGTTTATAAATTATGTATTTCCCTTTTGTTATATTTATATTTCTCATTTGATAATAAATAGGTGTGAGATCCGTGTAATATACGAGTTTTTTTTTAAATTAATATATTTTGTTAAGCATTACATGTTTAATAATTTACAAAACTGAATTTGGAAAGAATATCAATATTTGTTGTGAATGAACCAATTTTTGCAAGGTTTCAGCAAATTATCGTGAATTTTAAAAGGATTTGGCCAAAAATTATGTTTTTCAATTAGGAAGGTTGATTTGAATTTAAATTGAAGGTAATACTAAGGTTGTCAAGATCGGGATCCTACCTAAGATCGTTTTTGGGTTTGCAAGATCGGGATCGAGATCCTAAGATCCCACAAAATAGAATATAATTTTAATTTATAATATTTAATCATGAAAATTATTTCAAACATTTAATTTTTCATTCAAAAGCTATAAAAACTTTAAAATATTAGTCATAAGTCATAACAAAAAATGATAAATGGTAGATTGGTAAAGGGTAAAAGACGTAAAGTGAAAAATTCTCATATGCTAAAAAAAAAAAAAAAAAAAAAGAATGTAGGAACGGATCGGATTTCGATCTTACGATCCTACCTACGATCCTACCCCAAATACGATTCAGATCGTTTTTCATACCTAAGGTCGTAGGATCGTACGATCCTACGATCAGGATTGAGATTTTGACATGGGTAATACATTAATTGACAAATTAAGTAAGAATTTATGGAGACATTTAAGTTTCTTTATTTTCTTTATTATATTTTTAGATTTAATAACCAAGCCAAAAAAAACACAATTTACCAAGTGGATTTAAATGAAATTGAAAAAAATAAAAAAAATAACATATGCCTTATTGAATTAGATGATAACATATACCAAATAAACCTTTATTTATTAGGTAAGATATGAAACTATAGCATTTATTTCTTTTATTTGTTATTTGACATTGTGGACATTGCAACTTTAACAATCTATGTTGTAAATAGAAGGCGAAATCAATTTTTTTCTGATAACATTTCTTCGTCAATTTGGATATTTTCCCACTTTTGTAAATAAAAGAACATTACAAGTAATACCTAAAACACTCATTGGGATTTTATTTGTCAATATCCATAACAAAGTCTAACACCAAAGTGGTTTGAAAACACCAATATATTATTGGTGTTTTTATTAAGTATATATCTTGAATATTTGAATTTAAACTTCAAAGATTACGTCCATTTTAGATTATTATGATGGGGAATCTAGATCTCACCTCATAAGATTTTTTCACTTGAAATTGTTACATTATGTATTTCGATGCTTTGGCACATTTTCGGAGGCAAGCTCATCAAAAATAATAATAATAATAATAATAATAATAATAATAATAATAAATAGATAAATAAATAACCTCCAAATTGATATTGGAATAAGTTTCATTTGTCGACAGGTATTCTTCATTAAATATTATCAACAAGACATGTTTCATGCTTAAGTCTATCTCAAATATATCAGTTTCAGTCATCGATACAACATCCCGCCATGATTATTTGGAATATCTAGGAATAAAACTTGTGAGAATTGAGAAGGAAGGGTAGTTGGTTATTGAAGGGGAGGAAGATATATCTTAAATATATCGGTTTTGTGGCATCAAGGAGGAAGGGGAGTGGGTTACTGAACCCAAGTGAATTAAGCAAAAAAAAATCGGTTATTTTAAGAAAAAATTCAGAAGCTTGACAGTGCTTTCATTAACAGAAGAAGAGGGAATTTTAAATTGTTAAATGGAACCCACAAAGAGGCGTTGGAGGTTATAGGTCTCGAGAAAGATATGAAGGAAGCAATCTTGGGAGTGCGATTCTGATAAATCCCCAGTCCCTGATGGTTTTTCATTTAGGTTTTATAAAAAATATTGAGACTTAATTCAGGCTGATGTGATGGAGTTTGTGGAAGAGTTTTTTTGTAACAGGGAAGATATCGTCGGGGTGCAACTCTTCGTTTATAACACTCCCGTTGTGGTTACAGATTTCAAGCCGATTAGTTTAATCGGTGCCCACTATAAAAAATCGCAAAGGTCTTAGCCTCTTATGGTAAACGAAATAGTATATTGATTCAAGAAGTGAAAGAGGAAACTTATGATTTTCAAAATAGATTTTGAAAAGGCTTATGACTCAATAAGTTGGGAGTTTTTAGTGTAACATCCTGTTTCCTACCATTTCTGGGTCGTGGGCCGGAAGTCGATTGTATAAAACTTTGGGCCTTAAGGAGGAAAAGTTTAGTCCTTGTGGAAGGAGGTAATGTTAGTAAAGAGATTTAACCCTTGAATTGTGTTTTGGGTCGAAGGGTAGAAAGGAAAAAGTCTTAGGTCGAGTTCTTGCGTTAAATATATATATTTTTGTTCGACAAGTTTTTAGTCCAAGATATTTACATAATAATGTAGAGCTCTTCAACACCTTTTCGTGGATATAAAGAACGTCGAAAACGGAGTTGGAAAGAAGAAGTTACAACCGTTTGAAGTTAGGACGATTTTTGGGTTAGCCGCATACGCTTGGTGTACGGGGAGTATGTTGGGTGTACTAGGGCATCCCTAGTACGATGGACGTACGCGATCAATGCCCAAACCCTATTTTTGTGGTTTGATCCCTATTTAAGCTAGTTAGCTTCCCCAAACC